ATTTCTTCTTCTGGTGGCATTTCTTCCTTCTCCCAGTATTGTGCAAATATAATTCTCGCCGCTGTTATCGCACGTAGGATCAAACACCTACTTTGCTTATCAAGTTCTTCTGGCATTATACCTGGTTAAAAAAAAAATTCAGGTTTATAGTTTCTCTAACATTTTTTCTAACCAAAATAATAAAACTTAAAAAAAAAAAAAGGAACAGTTTTGTGGATGCCGTAGTGCAATCTCTCCCAGTTTTGAGTCTCCTTCGGGCTTTCGCTGCGGGCCAGACGACCGTCTGTCTTATGAGTCACTTTAGGGGTAGCTCGGTTCTTTCTATCGTCCAAACCTGTTGGAGTTAATTACACAGCCTCCAAATTACAGGTTTTGGGGCGACGGTTCAGTGTCTGTCCTTCCGCAGAGGAGGGGGGAGGCCTCTGATCCGGGACCGATCAAGAGAACCTAAGTCCGAAATGGTAGAGGGTTTCCTGCCTGAGCAGGGGATTGGACTAGATGACCTCCAAGCTCCCTTCCAACTTTACTGTTATTATTATTATTACTAGCTGTCCCCAGCCACGCGTTGCTGTGGCTGAGTCTGGTAAAAGCGTGTGTTGCTTTTACGTCCAACAGATGGCGCTGTTTTTCAAAAAAAGCATGTTTTTACCTGTCACAGGTGTGACATCTATATAATAGTAGGTATATAAAAACACGCGCGTATTCGAATGCAACGTTGTGTCAAAATTTCAAAGCAATCGGTGAAGAACTTTCGGAGATTTATGATTTTGAACAAACGGACATTTACATTTTTATTTATATATAGATAGATTATTAAGTCAGTCGCCTGCTTCTTTGGTGACTTGTTTTGTTTTTTTTTTCCATCTGCCTAAATCGTCTGTGGTTTTTCTGGTCTTGTTGAGTTGTGTGCTCTTGTCGTTTTGACAGGGAGTTGCAGCCCGGCGTGAGATCAGTCCAGGTTGTCCTCAGGTAAGCTAAGGTGCCAATTAATTAAACCCTCTTTCCCCCCCCCCAGAAACAGGGATGGGGTGGAGGGGGAAGGGATTTAAACAAGGCTGGGGCGTGAGCTGAGATCCTCGGCAAACAGCCTCTAAAGCTTTGCGAAAGGAATGCATTTGTGTGGGTTTGTCGTTAAAAGAGTTAAAAGAGAAGGCCAAATACACTTAACCACCGTGCTACTAATTTAAGAACTGCAGTGATTCCCTTAAAACTGTGGCAAGAAAAGTCGTAAAATGGGGCAAAACCCACTTAGCAAATGTTTCACTTAGCAACAAACCATTTGGGCTCAACTGTGGTCGTAAGTCGAAGACTTCCTGCCCATATACCCTACGCATAACACGTATGCGTATACGTATTCATAATGTTTATGGTTCTCTCCCATCTCTTCCTTTCTCAGAATCTGCTACACAGACACCAGCTGCCCTCAGGAAGATCAATACCCCCCAAATATCGCCGTGAAAGTCAACCACAGTTATTGTTCGGTTCCGGTAAGTCAGTGATGGCGAACCTTTTAGAGACCAAGTGCCCAAACTGCAACCCAAAACCCACTTATGCATCGTCGGGTGCCGGGTGGATGTGGTCTATTGGGTGGGTGTGGCCCATTGGGTAGGTGTGGCCCATTGGGTGGGTGTGGCTGTGGTGGTAACGGCAGACTGGGTGGGACTAAAAAGTTCAATCAATCAATTCCAACTTTGCGAGATCTTTTTTTCCCCCGCGAGAAGTTGAAATTGACTGATTGATTGGACCTTTTTTTTTATTTGCACATGGTGGCGGAGGCCTAAAGCGAAAAGGTTTTATAAAACCCAGCTGAAGGCCTAGGACTGGGGCGACGGCGCGCGTGCCCACAGAGAGGGCTCTGAGTGCCGCCTCTGGCACCCGTGCCATAGGTTCGCCACCACTGCGGTTAGTCAATCTTGGACGTTCACCAGGAGAATCAGTGGACCACATCTGTTTGAGCCGGGCGTAGCTTTGACAAGCAGCCAGACCCATCTCCCTTTGCCCAACCTGCTAGTCCTCAACTTAACACCATTCACTTCGTGGCCAAACTTAACAGCACTGAAAAAAGTGATTTATGACCAATTTTCACACTTACGACTGTTGTGCCATTCCCATGGTCACGTGATCAAAATTCAGCCGCTTGGCAACTGGCGTGTATTTACGATGGTCGCAGTGCCCTGGGGTCACGTGACCACCTGTTCATAACCTTCCAGCAAGCAAAGTCAAGTTGGAAGCTAGACTCACAACTCTGGTGTTACTAACTTAACTGCAGTGATTTGTGAATAGGTCGTAAAGTGGAGCCAAATTCACTTAGCAATTGTCTGGCTTAGCGAGGGAAATTGGGGGCTCAATTGTGGTCGCACGTCGAGGACTTCTCGTACCCACAGAGCTTGTCCTGAGGACTGCAGGCTATGTAGGTTGGAGGGTCCTTGTAGGAGATGACCAGGTTAAACCCGAGGGACGGAGGGGTCAAACACGTTATGAGTCTGGAATCCCTTTGTGCCCACAAGGGATCTAAGTCCAGCCCACCTTGAATTCCATTGGCTCTTATCTACTGCCAATTTGCTTTGACTGTTAGTAGTTCAGATTCTTGTAGAGCACTGGTCCCCAATCTTTGCAGCTTAGCGGCCCGGCTGGGGGGAGAGGAACAGGGCTGTGTGAGTAGTCGGTCTGTGTGCGCATACAGCTTGACTCACGCAAGTGGCAGGCTGGCATCCACGCGCATGCACGTGCAGCTCGACTAGTTGAATTGCGTGCATGCCAGCCTGCCACTCACGCGGCCTGGTTTCCCTCTCCCTCAGCCATGCGAGCTGCAATGTGCAAGCTGTGAGCGTAGGCATGCACGCCGGCCTGCCACTCACGCAAGTCAGACTGTGCTTGTGCATGCACACCGGCCCTCTGCTCGCGTGGCCCAGTTGCAAATAATCTATGGCCCGCTCACGTGGCCCGGGGGGTGGAGGACCCCTATTGTAGACAGTTTAAGTTTGCAATAAACAGTGATATTTACTTTGAATGGCCTGGACTTTCTGATTTCCCACTGCTTGACAGTCCTCTGGCACCATGAGGTTTCCCTTGTGGCAAGGGTCCCCAACCTGTGGGTAGCGGCCCAGTAGTGGGCCAGAGCACACACGTGTGTGTGTGCGCACTCAATCTCCCCACTTGCGTTAGCGTCACAGCCTTGTGTGAGGGCTAGCATTGCCGCAAGCATCACACAGGCACTAGCGTCGGCGTACGCATTGCGCAGGCACTAGCGTCGGCGTAAGCATCACACAGGCACTAGCGTCGGCGTAAGCATCGCGCAGGCACTAGCGTTGGCGTAAGCATCACACAGACACTAGCGTCGGTGTAAGCATCACGTAGGCACTAGTGTCGGCGTAAGCATTGCGCAGGCACTAGTGTTGGCGTAAGCGTCGCGCAGGCACTAGCGTCGGCGTAAGCGTCGCGCAGGCACTAGAGTTGGCGTAAGCGTCACGCAGGAACTAGCGTCGGCGTAAGCATCACACAGGCACTAGCGTCAGCGTAAGCATTGCGCAGGCACTAGCGTCAACGTAATTCGGCGTAAGCGTCGCGTAGGCACTAGCGTCGGCGTAAGCGTTGCGCAGGCACTAGCGTTGGCGTAAGCGTCATGCAGGTACTAGCGTCAGCGTAAGTATTGCGCAGGCACTAGCGTCAGCGTAAGCATCACGCAGGCACTAGCGTCAGCGTAAGCATTGCACAGGCACTAGCGTCA